ATTCTTCCCCCCTTTCTGATGATATTTTGAAGTGAAGTACCTGCATACATATATAAATAAGTATGTATCTCCTTTTTCAACACTGGAGGAAAACCTGCTCTAGATCTGCCTTTGCTTTCGAGGTGTGTGGGTTTTATAAGATAAAACGTGAAATGTAGCCAGGCCATGATTTTAGTTAACAGGCTGATTAAAAAAATACATGTATACACAAATAATAAATTCACCAAAGTAACTTACTGTAACATTTTAAAATAACAGTAATTTTAACACTTCAAAATGTTCAATCATTTCTATCCAGAGCAGAGCTCACACAAAGGGAACCATGTGCTCTCTGGCCTCAGCTCAAGAGACTATCTGTCAAAATCTGTGGTATTCGTATAATTAGCACAGCAAAGTGGAAAAAAAAAAAAAAAAAAAGGCTTTTGATGCAAACAAGTACAATTGTTTTTATGTACTCTGAGTAAATGATTAACAGGAAAAAGTCTATATATACACATATGCATATTGTGGCATGTTCTGAGCTGAAGGAGTGTTGTTCCACTACTAAGTGTGAACATACGTATACTGGAAATGCTGTAGTGTCACATTTATAAAGACTTAATGTATATTGTGATCATTTATTTAGAATGTATTTCCTATAGAATATTAATTCTGATATAAGACATTATTTCAGTAGGTATATTCATGTTGTTCGTTTACTTTGTACTTTCTGGGACAGAAAAAGTACATAACGGCCTAGTTTTCAGGGTGCAATTGCAGGCCACATCGAGGTCACTGATTATCACTTGGCGTCATACTTTAGGCCCTTGTTGCCCAAATGCTTGCACCATTTAGGTCAACAGGTAGTGTCACTATTTCAACATAGGCTTAGGCAAGCATGAGATGTGATTTTGACAAAAGAAAACTTAATATTTCAGGGTGCTTATATCACATATGTCACAGATCTACTCTAATAGTACATTTAATAAAAGGGTTAACTTATTTCTAAACACATTATGCAGTGCACGTTTGTAGCCAAAAATAACACTATTCTCACCAAAAGAGAATTAAGCTTATGTTTTAAATGTAAGAATTTTTGAACAGGGAAGAAGTTGTCACTTTAGTGTCATCTGTGAATTTTGATATTACCTTTTGGTTGCTGCTTCATCATAGTGAAGTTCATTAGTGATTTAATACAGCAGCTGAGTCTCAGAATTTGAGATTGGAGCAATGTGTTTTCTGAATCTAAAAAAAAAAAAAGTTCTGTAAGACAACCAGTAAACTAGCAGCAAAATGCTATTGAAAAGCAAGTACACTACTTAAGGGAACTTGCAAACGTAAATCCATGTTATTTTTCAAAACTAAGAAAAAAAAAGACCATGGGTCAGATAATTCCCTTCACTTTTTACCACAGGAAATGATCAAAGTAGCAGAAAATCTGCTCTTTTTGGCCAAACTTCTGTCAGAGACAGAAGGGGTCGAGCCAACACATGGTGTATGCAGCCTTGCAGCAAGAGGGGATGTGGCTGATGGGAAAGGAGGTGGAACCAGAGAAAATCTGTAGGGTAATACCTCCTATTAAACCCACAGGAATTCTCCTATTCTAGATAAACCAGAGGCTGATCCAATAAAGAAAATCTCAAACAACGTAACCTTTCTTTCCGGGCTGTTAGACACTTGTGAATGAAGATGTGGGGCTAGGAGCGTTCGGGATGCTCTGCGTCGAGCAGCTGTATTGCTGTAGGGAACCAAGGGCCTCTAGGGTTGCCCTAAGATACGTAAGAAGTGCAGGCAAAAACATATACCTGCCAGAACAGTTTGGTGGGAAATGAAGGGGTTGGGTTGGGTTTTTTTTTCCCTTTCTTCCCTGTCAGGCTCTTTCAGGACTTTACAAGCAGAAGCAGATGGTAGGGACCAGTACATTTTACTTCTTTGTTCTTGCTGCCTGTGAAAGGTGCCAGATGGGCAAGGATAAAGATAGAAATTCTCTTCCTGTAGCCCAGGGATAGCGAAAATGCAGAGCTTCGAGGCTGCCCTGTCCTCACAGGACGTCCGTAACATGGTTTTGTTGGGCCCACTGGCTTCACTCTGACTTTTTGCCAAGAATCTGACAGAAAATCCCAGTGGCAACTTGACGGGGCATCAAGACCGTTGAAGTATTTCATGTAGGACACCAGACCACCATCAGGTTTGGATCATTCACAAACGGGCCAAAAAATATACAGGCTAGGTATGAAGTGTAAGGCCAGTTCCTTCATATGAATAAGTTGGAAAATTAAATACTGTGTACTCTGAGAGGTGTTTATTTACTTGGGAATTATGAATTACCAAAATCTTATATAAGAGTAGTTTAAAGTTATATTTGATCAACATAATTAGCAATAGTATTCTGAACCATTCTCTTAATGAAGATGGCCATCTACGGACATGGAAGGGCCTCATCCATGACTCAATGAAGTCTGTTTAATTAAAGATTAATACTTTCCACAAACTATGTTAAAATGTTAGGGGTCGTCTTGTGTTGCAGAGTGAGGAATTATATATTGATTTTCATTAATCTGAATCTTTTCCTAGAACTGTTTTTCTTGTACTAGAGTCCTTTGAACCTAAGGGTTTTTTTTGTTTTGTTTTTTTAAAACCACACAGTGTATGATGCTATATTCCGACAAAGTCAAAAGCAGCATTTCAAGATTAATGCAGAGATTCCTGGGGTCTTTTGTCAG